CAACCAAGCTCAGAGAACCCCAAGGACTTCATATATTGTCTTAAGACATAAGTAGTTTGTTTGGGTTTGCTTAACATATTGTGTTATCCAGCCATTGAAGCTTATAAACCAGTTGCAAACATTTCATTACCCAGCTAGGTAACATCTTCAGTGCTAGCTTTTTTTTTTTTTGTTGGTACTGATACTGTGTCCTTCTGATCTGTGGTATGATTGTCTGCCTTATGTTTTCTTGGGTCTCTGGGTTAAGTCCTATAGTTTTAAATGCTGCTTCTAAGGCTGCACAGGATTCTAGCTGATTAGCATTGTCCACGTTATAGTTCTGCAGTGGATAATGAGCAGCTGGATATGTTGATTACCCATTCTGGTTCAGGTAACTCTTTGTTTCTGGGGTTTAGTTTGAGCTGTTTAGTTTGAAGTTTTGTTTTTCTTTTCTCAGCATGTCTTAGGGATGTGGTCTTGATGGTGGTTGTCAGTATATTTGTATGCTCTGAAGATGTCTCCTAGCTGGGTAACGAAACATTTGCAAGAAAACCACCAAGCTCAGGGAACCCCAAGGACTCCACAAAAAGGGGTAGACCAGAACTTAGCCTGTAGAGATGTCCTGGTTTATGGCTTTTTCTAGCAACGTTGATGCTGCTACTCTTCTCCTGGTGTCACTGCAGTCCAGCAGCAAAAACTGAAATGACCATGGAGTGAAGTTGGCAGCTACCGGAGAGGAGAGGATATGCCCACAGAAGCTGAGAGCAGCCAGTAGGAGCTGCTGCATTATTTCATGGCCACAGCCAAAGCAGCCACGCATCATGCAAATAGCAAGATATGTGTTGAGAGGTGAAAAAACTACTACCACATCAGACCAGACCTGGTCAAGTGATCTTGGTTGTAGGCAGGAGATGAGAGGAGGAAAGCTGCATTGTATGGAAGTGTCCTTCAAGAATGGTTAGGCAGATATCCTCAAACCAAAGTTAGGGGGATGTTTAGATATGCCCTCAGGGATTTATTTCTTTTTAAAGCATTTGGGAAAAAGCAAAATTGCAAGATTCCAGGCAAAAAGTTTAAATGCTTGAGCCTTCAAACTCTAAGCTTGAACTCTTTATATTTAATTATGCCTGTGATATTGAATTTGGATTGCCATTCCCCCCACTTTTTTTTTTTTAAAAAAAAATCTCCTTACTTTTAAGCATTACATGGTAATCGGTACAACATAATCATTGTCAACATTTTGAGATAGGCCAGGTCAGGAAATAGTGTAAGGATTACAAGAATGCTACTTTGCTGTTGCAGGGTATAATAACAGAATCTTGAAAGCCTCTGGCCCCTGTTATACCAAACAGACTCAGTGGGGTTATTTTTGAGTTTCTTTTTCATGCCTTCCCTTTCATAGGACTGAGTTGTCTTTCTTTAATTGCTCCTTCATACCTTCCTCTACAATCATAGCAGGAACATTTTAGATTTGTCCAGTACACTTTAGTGAAAATTTTAGTTTACCTTTTAATAAGAAAATGGCTGTTAACACACAGCTACCAATCTCTTTGGTATCAAATTTGTATGGAGGAATTATGTAGTTTTAGCCTTTCACCTGAATATAGGCCAATTAACCCTTGTGAAAGCCAGGTCAATGTTAAAGGAACAAATTAGGGACAGTGATTGTCAGAATGGTCTCACCAGAATTCCTGAATTGTATTACCAAATGTTAGACTGAGCAAGGCCTGCATTAAAGGGTATTTACACAGTCTAACCCTGAATAAGTTTCTACAGCCCATTTTACTACTCTTCCTTCAGCATTGTTCATAGATAGAATTCCTTACTCAACTTTGCCCTTGTGGCTGTCGGGAGGTAGAAAGGACTATGGTATTCTGAGACCAGCTTTCCTCTATCTGATTACTTTCCAGTTTGAGGGTCATAAAGATCAATGTTATGTTCCTTATTTTTTAAGGGATGTTAACTCTTCACTTACATTTCCAGTTGCAAAATACCTTTACCAAGCCATACAACTCTGCAAAGCTTTGGCTTAGATGTGTTGTTTACTGTTTATAGGCAATTTTTTCGGTAATGAGTTTTCTGTAGCAATCTATATTTCCAGTTGCAAAATACCTTTACCAAGCCATACAACTCTGCAAAGCTTTGGCTTAGATGTGTTGTTTACTGTTTATAGGCAATTTTTTCGGTAATGAGTTTTCTGTAGCAATCTATTTTTCTTTTTTCTTTTATCATCTATAATGCTGGTTAAAGACCATTCCTATTTGTGGATATAAAGTTTCCCCCACCCCAAATTATGGATCTCAACACACACACACCCCGACACCCATTTCTAATAAAAATTTGTGAACAAGCACTGTTTGTCAGAGTCAAGAGCAATGGGCTAGATGAAACAATGGTTGGTGCTATTGCCTGTCCTTGGAGTGAGAGCGTTGAATGAGTAGCTGCCTCTTCAATCTAAACTGGACTTCCATTCAAGTCTACTAATTATGGTCCACAATCACACAGTACATTTGACCTATAATCTATTCAAATTTACCTGAGATTTGACACTAAAGGGTAGAGCCAAGCACTCATGAAGATGTAATGACTATGGCCAGCATGCACAATGCCATCCTACATCTTTTCAGTCTTCATGCATTGAGAAGAACAACTGTCTGAATTCAAAAGAACTGAAGTTTAATCTGTCTCCCAGTATGCAAAGGGTGCCACTCTCCCCAATGAACTATTTTGAGTAAAACATGAAAGGCAGAGGGTTTGGTGCCTGAAGCCACCCACAGACTTCATGCAATTAGGACCTAGATAACACTGCACATATATTGCCTGCTACCTTCTGAATATGCAATAACTGAGAGTGATGCCAAAAATGATATAATTATTATGTAAATTGCTGTGCTGCGAAGTATTATTTTTTCCTTCTAATCTTTTTAGGTTCCATTTAGGGCAAAGACTTTCCCAAGGCAGGTTACACATATAAAATCATGATAATTTTTTTTAAAAAAAAGAATAATAAAACATTAATGAAACCAATAATGGCTAAAACCAGAAGTTAAAACACATATTCCCGATACAAAAATCAGACCCAATTTCAGAGCAATAAAATAGGACACATGAGCAATAAAACCAATTCAGGATAAGGCTTCAGTAAATAAATAGCCCTGCAGGGTTTTCTTTAAAGTTGGCAATGATGTGAAGGAAACAAACATGCTGGCAAAAAAGTATTTTTTTTTTTCAAATGTACTTTTTCTTGAATTTTCGTCTCTTGAAGTTTTCTTGCAAAGGTATAAAATACAGAATAGATTCTGGCTCACTCTGCTATTTCTTCATTTTGCTTTGCTTTTGTTTTGGTTATAGGATCCAGCTGGATTTCATAACGACTTGGAAGGCTTTCTGCCACTCATTCTGTTAATGCCCTGGTTGGTACATAGAATATGGAGCTTCATCGGGTAGCTGATGTAAAGAAATTTAAAGATGATTTAGAGATGATCTTGGGGAAGGTATGAAAAAGCCATAAAGGGAGGGAGGGAGGG